TTTACCCCTGCTAACCTCTCCTGACACTTCTATCATTGTGGCTTCTAATTGTGCTGCTGGGTGGCCACCATTCATATGCATGAACACGTGGAAACTGTGTCGGTGGCCATCTTGTTCGCGAGAATGCAGGCAGCTGTGTTTGGGCGTTGATCGCATGGAACTTAAATCTCCCCAACACTGCTGAACTTTTACGAACTTTGATGAACCATATGAACAAACGCTACCAGCAAGCCAGTGTGTGTACAGTATTTCTTTCACATGGAGCTCCCGAAGGTGACCTGCAAAAGCACCAAACACCCTGAACGGTTTTGGGCATTGGACCATGTGTGCTGCCGGTCAGAACTTTACGCCCGTGGCGTTTCGGCGGTGTTTGTGGGATCTAAGCAATTTTCTGATATGTTGGGCACTCAGATCCAGGCTATCTGGCGATATATAGACAGTGGGAGTTCCTAGTGGGAAATATGTATTTTGATGTGTTTTTCATATTTTATGTTTTATCGCTGAGTCATGGTGACACTGCACTTTGGGGACATTTTGTGGGTGTGTTTTTGGGAGTGTCCTGTGTGGGTTTGCTGTGACTCTGAAATGTGTAAAAGCAGGCCATCTGGCCAAATTAGAGCATTCCAGTTTGCACCCCCAGAACTATATGTCGTCTAGTTACTGGGAGGGGAAAGGGCTAATGCTTGTGGAGGATTCAGCGGGGAATGTCCTTGTATGGACTAGAGCTCCCAGTACTGTGTGTCGTCCAGTCCCTGGGAGTGGATAGAGCGAGTCCCCTATTAGGCTGCAGGACGGAGAGGTTCCAGGACCCCAGTCAAGTCATGGCGTACTGTGTGTCGTCCAGTCCCTGGGAGTGGATAGAGCGAGTTCCCTATTAGGCTGCAGATGGAGAGGTTCCAGGACCCCAGTCAAGTCATGGCGACTGGGGGCAGAAGCGTTGAGGTTTTCCTTTGTTCCAGCTAGGAAGCAGTCTTTTGGTGGAGGTACCCAGCCGAGGTACAGGGAGCTCCATTACACTTGGTAACCAATGATGACACTTCTATAGTATACCTCCTAAGTGTCCCTATTTAAGTGGAATAGTCCCTATTTTGGCCAATATCCCTCTTTTCTAGGAGCTCTGTATTGTTGGTGTATAACAGAACTCTACAGCAATGATACCAACGGTAATGTGTCTTTAATCTACAATAAATGTGTTTATAAATCAGTCTGTGTAATTAACATACATTGTTCTTATTCTAAATGTCATTTTAGTTGTATAAATTGTTATTAGTAAGTCACTTAAAATTCCTCAGATAAGCTCTGCTCGTGGCCATACCTCCATTCACACCTGTAAAATGAAAATTTCCTTCTTTTTCCATTTGAAATGTTGGGAGGTATGCCATAGTATTCTCTTCTTCACAGAGTTTATCACAAATAAATCCCTGCACAGCACGTACGTAGAACAGCTATGTATCTAAGAAAGAGATCAGTTAGCGTCCAGAAACCTCTGCTTTTTAGGCTCACAGAATAGAGCAAGTAGTGTTATGGGCAGATAAAAGCTTAGCTCCCCCAATGACACGTTAAGTTAGAAGATGAATTCGAAGCTGAAGTAAGTTTCGAAAAATGCTGCACTTATGAGACATAATGTGACGGGTGTACCATAACCACTGCAATAGTGAATAATATATGATGGCATGTTGCTTGCTGTGACCCATTTTTATCCTAAATATAAAATTAACACTGCAAGGTTCTCTCTCACGCACACACCAAACATAGCATTAAGGATTCCGTTGACTAAGCTACACAAGCTCCCTTCCTGGAATGAAGACTTAACACACTAGATTGGATAACGGATATTATCTGGTTATAATACAGCAAGTGGTCCATGTGAGGAGAGTATCTCATTCCTTGTGTACATAGATGTTACTTGGTGTGTGTCCAGATATGCTCTGTGTGGGAGTGATGAAGAGGAGATGCTGTAACACTGTCTGTGCCTAGTTTTATAATGATCACAGAATGATCAAAGATCTCTCTCATAAACACTCTATGAAGACAACATATTATTCTTCTAAGCATTTGGTAATTGATAGAATATGACGTTTTAATTAATTTGCCTAGTGTAAACAATTTTTATCATTCAACAAAAAGATTTGTACGTTAATATCCGTCCTGTATTGTTTAAAAAAAGCAACAACATAATACTGGTAAATTCTATACGCTGATTAACCACATTAAAACCACTGACATGTCAAGTGAATAACACTGATAATGCTCTTACAATGGCACCTGTCCAGAAGTGGGATATATTAGGCATTAGGGCCAAAGAGTGATGTCTACACAACTGGGTCAGAGCATCTCCAAAATCTTGAGGGGTCAATCAAAAAACAAAACTTGGTGTTTAGCTGATATAACCCTCCACCTAAAACTCCCAAGTAAGAGTGCAGCGCTACAAAATAAAGAGACACTTACCCTTCAAAGCAATATAAAGGGACGATGTTAATATGGAAGTAAAAAATAAAAAGCCATATATAGAGTAATATAGTTAAGTCTTATGTTTAAGTTAATCTGGTGAAATTCCAACTCACATTTACTAGAGCCTTTTGAGAAATAGGCTCTATACAAACAGGTGTTCGTGAACTTTTCAGGTGGCAACCTGACCTTATTCTCCAACTTCAGAGTGGTACTCAAGTGATGATATATGGAACCAAGAAAATAAGAAATATGACAAGATCTCAGTGCAGTATGTCGGTGTTAATATATACGGCACATTTATGCTTCTCCAAATCCTTGCTTACCTTTTTGAAGAGCCTGTAAACCTGGCTCTCAGTGTAAAAAACCTTGTGTCATTGTGGGTGACACTCTCCCTTAGAACCAGGAAAAAAAGGGGCTCGGTGCAACAGGATAAAGTTCAAATATTCTATAACTATTTATTAAATATATGTTGAAAACATTAAAATATAACAAATAAAAATGAATACGAATAAAGTCGAAAGTAAACCGCTCTCTTCAGCCAAGACGCATTTCACCCTCCTGGGGCATTCTCAATCGGCATGTTGCTGTGCTGCACCTGGTTCCTTTTTAAATGGAGTTTAGAGCTGCCCTCCTTCCTTTCAGGCCAATGCTGCCCTCTTTCCCTCCTCAGCTGTTCCAACTACACTGAACAAAATTATAAGAGATGGGTCTGTTTGTCAATGAAGACCAGGAAAACACAGAAATTTAAATAACTATTTTTCTTCAGTATATATTAATGAGGGTCCTATGGCAAGAGATAAGCAAATGATTGCTGCAACAAACTTGCAGATAACTTGTGATTGGATAACTCGAGACAAGGTGCTACAGCTATTAAAGAAAATTAATGCAAATAAAGCTCCGGGGCCTGACGGTATCCACCCACAAGTACTTAAGGAGCTAAGTGGGGAAATAAGTGAACCTCTGTATTTAATTTTTCAAGATTCTTTTGTTTCAGGTATTGTACCGGAGGATTGGAGGAAGGTAGATGTTGTTCATATATTTAAAAAGGGTTCAAAATCCTTGCCTGGAAATTATAGACCTGTGAGCTTAACTTCTGTGACAGGGAAATTATTTGAATGGCTATTAAGGGATAATATTCAGGAATTCATTGGGAAGAACTGTGTTATTAGCAATAATCAACATGGTTTTATGAAACATAGGTCATGTCAAACTAACCTAATTGCATTCTACGAAGAAGTAAGTAGAAGTATAGATCAGGGTGTTGCAGTGGATGTGATCTACTTGGATTTTTCCAAGGCATTTGATACGGTTCCTCACAATAGGTTAGTCTTCAAACTAAATGAAATTGGTCTAGATGAATATTCTTGTTCTTGGGTAGAACATTGGCTTAAGGATAGAGTACAACGAGTTGTCATTAATGGTAATTTTTTAAGCTGGACAAAAGTGGTAAGTGGTGTCCCTCAGGGTTCTGTTTTGGGACCGCTTCTATTTAACATATTTATAAATGATCTTGAAATGGGCATTGAAAGCCATGTGTCAGTGTTTGCAGATGACACAAAACTTTGTAAAGTAATAAAATGTGAGCAGGATATTGCCTTGCTGCAGAGGGATTTGGATAGATTGGGGGACTGGGCACTAAAATGGCAGATTAAATTTAACGTAGAGAAATGCAAAGTTATGCACTTCCACGTTAAGAATGTACAAGCAATTTACACCCTAAATGGTAGTGAACTAGGGATAACCACACACGAGAAGAATTTGGGAATTGTTATAGACAACAAATTAGGCAGCAATATGCAATGTCAATCTGCCGTTCCTAAAGCCAGTAAGGTTTTGTCATGTATAAATAGGGGCATAAATTCTCGAGATGAAAATATAATTTTGCCTCTTTATAAATCGCTGGTAAGACCACACCTTGAATATGCTGTGCAATTTTGGGCACCTGTTCTAAAGAAAGATATCATGGCACTAGAAAAAGTGCAGAGACGAGCTACAAAATTGATAAAAGGAATGGAGCATTTTAGTTATGAAGAAAGGTTAAAAAATTCAAATCTCTTTAGTTTGGAAAAACGGCGCCTGAGAGGACATATGATAACATTATACAAATATATTTGGGGCCAGTACAAACCATTATCTGGAAATCTATTCATAAACAGGGCTATAGATAGGACATGGGGTCACACATTTAGGCTTGAAGAAAGGAGATTTCATCTAAGGCAAAGAAAAGTTTTTTTTTACAGTAAGAGCAATAAGGATATGGAATTCTTTGCCTGAAGAGGTGGTTTTGTCAGAGTCTATACAGATGTTTAAACTGCAATTGGATAAATACTTGCAAAAACATAACATACAGGGATATAATTTCTAATTAGTGGGGTAATAGCTGCTTGATCCAAGGAGACATCTGACTCTATTTTGGGGTCAAGAAATAATTTTTTCATAGTTTGTTGCAAAAATGGAAGCGCTTCAGACTGGGTTTTTTTGCCTTCTTTTGGATCAACAGCAAAAACATTTGTGAGGAAGGCTGAACTCTTTCAGCTATGTAACTATGTAACTATGTAATAAACGCAACACTTTTGTTTTTGCCCCCATTTTTCATGAGCTAAACTCAAAGATCTAAAACTTTTTCTATGTACACAAAAGGCCTATTTCTCTCAAATTTGTGAACAATATTTGAGAGAAATAGGCCTTTTGAGTAAATAGAAAAAGTCTTAGATCTTTGAGTTCAACTCATGAAAAATGGGGCAAAAACAAAAGTGTTGCATTTATAATTTTGTTCAGTGTATGTATTAGGGGTTTCGGCTGTTAATATTTACATAATTGCAAAGTCCAGTCTTATTTATGTTTTCACTTCCGGTTTCGATCCCCTACTACATTGTCCATGATGCCCCGATCCCGGAAGTGACGTATTCGCCCATTACTTCATCTCTGGTTGCATATTCGCCATGGATTTGTTGACTGTCTGCAAAAAATGAACAGACCTTTGGGAACGTAATTTCTGCCCTCCTTCTTAAAGGGATATGTGACTACATTACCCAGACTATCTACTTGTTTTGGTAGTCCTCCTTCTTGAACGGATATGTAGCCACATTTCCCATACTGCCTACTATGTATTAAAGTCCAGCCCCTTTATGCTGTCTTATTCCATTTGGGGACAGTGATACAAAAAGAAAAACAAGAGAAAGTATGAGATATTGTATTTAAAAAAAAAATAAACAAAAAGAGTACTCATACTTAAAGGGACACTATAATCACCAGAACAACTACAGCTTATTGTATTTGTTCTGGTGAGTAGAATCATTTCCTTCAGGCTTTTTTTTGCGGTAAACCCTGTATTTTTCAGAAAAAAAGGCAATGTATACATTACAGCCTAGGGACACCACCACCGGCCACTCCTCAGATGGCTGCTAGAGGTGCTTCATGGGGCAGTGCTGCACAGTGAACTGCACTGCCATTCAGTGTCTCCATCCTCTGCATGCAAACACTGAACATTCTTCATAGAGATGCATTGATTCAATGCATCTCTATAAGGAGATGTTGATTGGCCAGGGCTGTGTTTGGCTTGTGCTGGCATCAGCCTCCTTGACAGTCTCAGACAATCTAATGCTTTCCTATGTGAAAACATTGTGATTGTCTCAGACTACTACTTCTGATGATGTCAGCCAAACACGAAGTTTAGAGGCAGCAGCTGCAGACTTGAATCCAAGTACAATTTTACTATATTTTGGGAGGCAAATGGGGGCCAAAGGGGCTACATGGTGGTATGGGATCATAGTGACTCTTTAATAGAGTAATTATAAGAAAACTTTAAATCTCACTTTAACTGGAATTATTTGGCATCGGTATTTTATGGATCAGAGGGGGGTAACACATAATGCTAAGTGAAAAAGGTACACAATATTCAGTACCATATTTGACCATTCATATCTCATACTATATGTAGCAAAATTTTTGCCCAGTATAATATATTCCATTCTAAAAAGTTTATTCACAGTTTGTGAGTCAGATCTGTCTTTAGTAGATACGTATATTAAAGCTTGTGCTTTTGCTGTTTTTTTTCCGAAAGTTTGTCTCAATATGAGTAAATGTATTTATTCAAAGTGGTATGGTACATTATAATAAGCAAGTTTGACATAGTGAAGACATAATGAGGAGAAAAAATGGCATTAAACATGTATAACATGAAACACATTTTTCTGTATATACTTGGAAGAAAACCTGCATTCGGTTTAATTTATGACCCAAAATCTACAATTGCTCAGTAGCCTTCCTTTGTACTGAGTCTCTTTGAAGCAAGCCCTGGGGATATTACCTTCACCCATATCACATATTCACACATGAAAGCAAAAGTATTTTTTTAGATGTTTGGTGGTCTTTGTTCCAGAAATACCAGACTTGATTATAAGTCATGATGTCATAAAGTTTCTTTGCAAAGTAAGGTAAAGTACTGAGTACTTTGATTGCCTCATTGCAGTGTATGAGTCTTCTAGTAGGAATAATCATATTCTTAAATTTCAATATGAACTAAAACAACTAACAAACATACCAATAAAATGGAAATACATAAACAGGAACTGCTCTCTACTAGATGTAAACTGACCACCCACAACTTTAAACCTTCCTGCATAATATTGTGTAGGTCTCGCTCGTGCTGCCAAAGCAGCCCTGGTGCGTCAAGTTATTGACTCCCCAAGACAGACAAAATGCATACACTGATCAGCCACAACATTAAAACTACCTGCCTAATATCGTGTAGGCCCCCCTCATGCTGCCAAAACAGCTCTTTTGCATGGACTCTACTAGATCTCTAAACAAGTCCTGTAATATCTGGCACCAAGAGTTAGCAGTCCTGCAAGTTGCAAGGTGGGGCCTCCATGGACCAGCTTTGTTGTTCCAGCACATCCTACAGATGCTGAATGAGATTGTGATCTGGATAATTTGGAGGCCAAGGCAACACCTTGAACTCTTTGTAATGTTCCTCAAACTATTCCTTCCCCCCCCCCCCCAATCTTTATTTTTGCTGTGCGTAGGGATACAAACAGGCATGTGTTGCCACAACAGCAGGCACACACCAATAAAACAAACAGTATAAACAGTGTCATGGCATGCAAATACGGCACCAATGTTTTGTTAGTTTGTTAGTAGATTCAAGCTAGATATACATGTCTAGTGCAGATATATTAAGATAACAATGCCTATTAAACCACTAGTGTTAACAGTGATGTGCCTGTCTTGTTGTAAGGGATTTTGAGGCGAGTCAGGTATCACGCTACATTGTGCTTTAACTGCATGTTGTGTTACAGGCTTCATACATACATTCCTAGTTAGAGGAACCTATATATGATTACGGATGCTTACACCTAGAATTGTAGGTGGCAAAGAAGGAAATTAAGATTAGGCAAGTAAGAAGCAGGCTAGTCTAGCAATATAAATGCTACTGGGGCTGATCTAGATCGCAAATTTTAAATTTATAGCTCCATATGGGTTGCATATAGTAATAAAGAATACAAGCAATAAGCAGGTGGTTGAGCAACAAAATAAGGTGGGATGACTTAAAGCATGATAGTATTGCTTTTGAGTCTCTCACTGGGTCAAATGCACGGGTATCAGGGATGTTTTTGTTGAGGTTAAGGCGTCAGCCCACCCCCACTATCGGTAGGCCCAGTGTGGAATACAGCAGTCCGTAGGGGGTTGCGGCCTGGCTTTGTCGGATTACGGCCCCTTTACTTCTCCGGATTTGTAGCTTTTTGGATATGTTGTGTGCTCAGATCGGGGCTATTCAGGAACACAATTTTTGTGGGGTTTCGATGCTGTTGCCATGTATTTTTGTGATATATTAAAATTGTATGTAAGTTTTCCTATTTGAGAGATAATTTGATTAGCTTAATTGGAGCTCAATTATCTCTCAAACACAATGACTTGAAGGAACCCCTGTGATTTTGTATTAGACACCCCATGCTAGGGGCACTGCATAAGAAGCCAAGTGTGGCCTAATAAAGTTCAGATTGCAGCTTTTACCCAATACGACTGGCTGTGTCCATTTGGGAACCTTTACACAACTGGAATACTTTCACTATATTCAGCACATCTGAAATCAGGACAAGTGGAGGATTGAAGGAATAACAGCAATAGACTCACAAACCCGGGACAGGTTCCAAGATGATTACTTCCTGCAGGTATGTGGTAATGCCATGGTGACCATATTTGTACCCAGCTATGCCAACCTATTTATGGCATTATGGGAATGTACATTTATTTATAACAATAGCTGGAGTGCGAATCTACATAGATGATATTTTTATTTATCCTGGGGGTTATCTCCCCCCTACTTCAAAGTAACCTGACACTTTCTCCCTTATAGGTTTCTCTATTTTTATAGTTGACTATAAAGAAGGCTTTTGATAAACACAATGTGTCACTTTATTTTAAACAAGTACATAATAGCGATTTAGAGTTTCTAATAAAACGTTTTTTTTGTAAATATGATTTTTATTTTTGATATAGCAAATAAGTTCAAGCATGAAATAGTAGGTCGGGAGACACGCAGGTCTCAAGCATAGTTACATCTAGCTATGTATTTGACATTACACCATATTACCTCGGGCTCGCAGGCCCTATTATCATTAGATGCCTGTACAATCTGTATCCCCCTGTTACATCCCATACCTTTTTTGTTAATTCTGTATCCCCTCTTATCGTAGATGTTTCCCTGCGTTCTAGGTGTTACGATTCTTTTATCAGGGTGTATGGGCTATCTCCCTGTGGGATGCGGATCCCTATCTCATGATTCCCTATGGTCTGTTCGTTTATTGGCGCTGTCACCTAGCGTTAGTTGCATCCCACCCTCCGGGTCTCCTGTCTTTGTCTTATAACATCTCATTTCCCGTTCCAGGGCAGGTTGGTCGCGTCACCCTAGGTGGCAGTCTTGTGCGTTCTATTCATGAGCATTGTTTGGTGGCATACTTGTGTGTTGCAGTTGGCCTCTACGGTGTATTAAGTCTTTCCTATTTCCCTGGGTCTCCCTCCCCTTGTCCTCTTTGTCAGCTAGTGCGTGTTCGTCATTGCTTCTGTTTAGCTTGCCTTTTCTTGGTAGTCCCCTTTCAAGCAACTTACGGTGCTCTCGTGGGTGACCGTGTCTAAATTGCGTGTGTTCGTCTCTTTGGATTCTAAGCTGGTGCTGGTACTTGAGCCGTGTGTGTTTGTTTGGTAGTTCAAACTAGTACTGGTGTGAGTGACTCCTGTGGTTTCTGTTCCTGTTGCGATCAGTATGCGTTAGTGTGTTTCTGTTTCTCCGGCTATACCTGTACTGTTGGTGTGACGTGGTGTCCTGTGGGTTGTGGTGTCTTCATGTTCCTTGTATTGTGTTATTGTATTGTGTCCTGCTGTGTCTGTGGTAGGACTTCTCAATCCTAGTGTTATTCTCTATTTGTGTTTCGTTCCTTCTTGGGTCTCGCCCTGTTTATTGCAGTGTGTTGTTCCTGGTTGGGTCAGGAAAAAATGGGGGGGGAGGGGAGAGGGTAGTGTACGGGTTAGAGCGGGGGGGGGGGATGGGGGCTGCATATTTGATGCATGAGGTCTACCCATCCGGCGCGCCCGGGTCCCCCACCCTCTCTCCCTCCCATGGTCACTATTGTGTGTGTAATAAAACTTTTAATCATGGATTGTTAAAATTTACATGCCTCTAATATATGTATGGTAATTTTCCCCTTATAATAATACAATAATAGTTCATTTTATCCCCCCCCCCTTTTTTTTAACCACTATGCATATGAATTTTT